TTTTACATCAGGTTTATATTTCGTGACCTTCAGAGATATGCACGAGCTACTGCTTTCGTCCGTCAGGCTACTCCTGTGACGAGACTTAACAAAATTCATCCCTGAGAACAAAGATTCACAAGCGTAAATGGGAGAGTATAAGAGAGGGTTTCGCGAGCCAGCAAAAGTTACTGGCGTGCCATGTTTGGCACGCGTGCCAGGGGTTGCCCACCCCTGGCCTAGGGCTTAGGGGACCGGGTCAGGCGTGCGGAGATGGGGGAGACCTCACTAGCCCCTGACCTCCATGGGGTGCAGAGGGCTGGGCGAGGCCATGTTATCCGTCACACACTGGGTTCGGCCTTTTCCAGGGCTCCCCAACGTGTCTCTCTGGTTGTTTCCCCATCACCCCTCCCACTTGGCAGCCTCCCACACGCATCCCAGCCGGGGCGGGGGGTTCGAACCCACAGCCCACGTATGCGTCTCTATCGGGAAATCGAACCTGCAGTCCCTCGGTGCGTGGGCTGACGCTCCAACCACCATATTTCTTGCTTTTTTAGGTTCCACGTGTAAGTGAAAGATACGACACTTGTCTTCATCTGTCGGCCTTATTCTCTATACTAATAAAAGGGTAATATGCTAATTAGACTGGATAGACCGGATGTACTTCCAGACGTCTGTCCGGACAAAGCCACGGTGGCAGGGCCGAGGCAGAGGCGGTTAGTGGCGATCAGGCCAGCCGGGGAGAGTGGTTAGGGATGATAAGGCCAGCAGGGGAGAGCGGTTAGGGGCGATCAGGCAGGCAGGTAGAGGGGTTAGGGGCAATCAGGCCGGCAGGTAGAGGGGTTAGGGGTGATCAGGCTGGCAGGGGAGAGCAGTTAGGGGCGATCAGGCAGGCAGGTAGAGGGGTTAGGGGTGATCAGGCTGGCAGGGGAGGGCAGTTAAGGGCGATCAGGCCGGAGTGCAGAGTGGTTAGGGGCAATCAGGCAGGCAGGCAAGTGAGCAGTTAGGAGCCAGTGGTCCCGGATTGTGAGGGGGATGTCCGACTGCCGGTTTACACCTGATCTTGTCAGACATCCCCTGAGGGGTCCCGGATTGGAGAGGGTGCAGGCCAGGCTGATGGACCCCCCACCCTCGTGCATGAATTTCGTGCACCAGGCCTCTAGTAGTTAGCATACTACCCTCTAGCTCCATCCATGTTGTTGCAAATGGCAGGATTCCATTCTTTTTCATGGCTGAGTAGTATTCCATCGTGTGTATGTACCCCATCTCCTCTATCCACTCATCTACCAGTGGCCTCATAAAGTGCCTTCATGTGTTTTAAAATCAGAGGTAAAAGACATGAACATTTGAGGGTGAAGGTGACGCACACATGGGTGCCAACACAGTGGTGAAATAGAGTTTCAGTATTTTACTTTTTTTTCCCAGAGAAGAAGGGAGAGGGAGAGAGAGAGAGAAACATCAGTGATGAGAGAGAATCACTGATTGGCTGCCTCCTGCACACCCCCTACTGGGGATCAAACCCACAACCCGGGTATGTGGCCTTGACGGAGAATCGAACCCGGGACCCTTCAGTCCACAGGCCGATGCTCTATCCACAGAGCAACCCGGCTAGGACCAATGTTTTACGTTTTTATGTAACACTGTAGGCCCTGTGCACTAAATTCATGCACTCGGAGGCGGGGAGGGGAGGGTGGTTGTGGTCCCTCAGCCCGGATAGCGAGAGGGCACAGGCCAGGCCGAGGGACCCCACCGGTGCACGATCGGGGCCGGGGAGGGACACGGGAGGTTGGGGAGGGACGCGGGAGGGCTCCAGGGCATATCCAGCCCGTCTCACTCAGTCCCAATCGGCTGGACCCCAGCAGCAAGCTCACCTACTAGTCGGAGCGTCTGCCCCCTGGTGGTCAGTGCTCGTCATAGCAAGCGGTTGAGCGGCCTTAGCATATCATTAGCATATTACACTTTGATTGGTTGAATGGCCAACCAGACGACCGGACACTTAGCATATTAGGCTTTTATTATATAGGATGCCTTTAGCTTAAAGCATAGCTATATGCCTTTATATTCATGGTTGTGTGAATGTTTTAATTGGCCCTGAACTCAGGTGAAACCACTGCTTTGCTCCCCAGGAAATTGGAGCCGAGAAGTTAGAAGAGTTTAAAATTAGTTATAAAATCATTGTTCTGCTCAGCTGGTATGGCTCAGTGGTTGGGCATCGACCTATGAACCAGGAGGTCAGGGTTCGATTCCCGGTCAAGGGCACATGCCCGGGTTGCGGGCTCCATCCCCAGTAGGGGGCATGCAGGAGGCAGCCGGTCCATGATTCTCTCTCATTATCGATGTTTCTCTCTCTCCTTCTCCCTTCCTCTCTGACATCAGTAAAAAATATATTTAAAAAATAAAAATAAAATAAAAAAGGGTACCACGGCCGTCGTGTTGAACGATCCCGGTTAATGTAGGACAGCGGTTCTCAACCTGTGGGTCGCGACCCCTTTGGGGGTCGAACGACCCTTTCACAGGGGTCGCCTAAGGCCATCGGAAAACACATCTATAATTACATACTGTTTTTGTGATTAATCACGATGCTTTAATTATGTTCAATTTGTAACCATGAAAATCCATCCTGCATATCAGATATTTCCATGACGATTCATAACAGCAGCAACATGACAGTGATGAAGTAGCAACGGAAATAATGTTATGGTTGGGGGTCCCCACAACATGAGGAACTGTATTCAAGGGTCGCGGCGTTAGGAAGGTTGAGAACCACTGATATAGATAGATATATAGATATAGATATAGATATAGATATAGATGATATAGATATAGTGATGAAGTAGCAACGAGAATAATTTTATGGTTGGGGGTCCCCACAACATGAGGAGCTATATTCAAGGGTCGCGGCCTCAGGAAGGTTGAGAACCGCTGATGTAGGAGCTGCTTGCTTCCTGTGCTTTTAAAAGTCGGGGTTGCAAACAGTCCGTGAACGCCGAGCCCTGATCTGCCGGTTAAACGCGGGGGGACCCTCTGCAGCCGCTTCTGACAGTCAGGGAAGGGCGTGCCTGGCGTTTTGATCAGACGCGGGAGATGCTCGGGGTCAGAGACTGCCGAGGGAACGCGGTCTCGGGCCAGCCCCCCATTAGCGGCGGAATCAGGGGCCCT